ATAATAGGTGATACATAGATTTGCGAGGACACAAGTGACAGCAAAGCTCACATAAGTCTTTTGCAAAGACCAGGTACTGCAGAATTGGGTGCAACGTTTGGACATCCACTTGGAGATTTGCCTGGGTCAGAAAGATGAGTGGGATTCCTAGGAAGACTGCTGTGTAGTTATTGTCAAGGAGTATCAGTTATTTCTAGACTTTGCTAGATGATAGATGACAAAACGATGCTTAATCGGTGCATAATGTTCCATTTATGGAGATTGGAAGGCACTACATAGTAGTAACTTCTTTTAAACTTGTCATCCGCAGCGTCACAACTCCAGGAAGAGAGCAGTCCACAGCAGCAGTAACGGGAAAAGCAGCGAGTGACAAATCTGCACACTTCAGTGCGGCAAAGGAAGAGAGAGAAGAACCATCCCCACGGCCTCCGTCTTCTGCTCAGAGAGGTGACTCTCCCATCGTCCAAGAGCCCGAGGATCCCCAACTCCACCAGGGTGACCTCTCTCCCAGGAGAACTAGTCTAGTGATAGTGGAGTCAACTGACGAGCAGACAGAAAAGTTCGGAAGAGATTATGAAGAGGAATCTTTAGAAAAGGTAAGTAACTTTGGCTCAAAGTAATTGACACCAAAGAAACAAGTTTTATGTCTCACTCATTCCTTAAGATGACAATATTTTTAATCAGCCTAATTAACCCCCATCTGCAACTGAGTTTTTTCTCCTTTCCTCCGTGGCTATAAGGGCTAGCCATGGTATTTGTGTAGAGGTTTCCGAAGCTGAAGCAAAACCCAGATCCTAAAGCCTAGACTGTAATTCTGGTTCCACTACCCTTATTTGTCCTTTAGCCTGTGACAGTTATGTCCATGCATGTGAGAGAGAATTAGTGTAAAATAGAGGTGCAGAAACAAACCATGTGCAAGTGGAGTATTGTGTCCAGTTCTGGAGTCCCCGGGTCAAGAAGGACAGGGAACTGCTGGAGAGGATCCAGCAAAGGGCTGCAAAGATGATTAGAGGACTGGAGCATCTTTCTTATGAGGAAAGGCTGAGGGATGTGGGGCTTTTCAGTCTGGAGAAAAGAAAACTGAGGGGGGATCTTATCAATGCTTATAAATACTTAAAGGGAGGGTGCCAGGGGGATGGGAACAGACTTTTTTTAGTGATGCCCAGTGACAGGACAAGAGGGAACGGGCACAAACTTGAGCATAGGAAGTTCTATCTAAACCTGAGGAGGAACTTCTTCCCTGTGAGGGTGGCAGAGCAGTGGCACAGGCTGCCCAGAGAGGTGGGGGAGTCTCCCCCTCTGGAGCCATTCCAAACCCGCCCGGACGCCGTCCTGTGCCATTGCTGGAGGTGCCCCTGCTCTGGCAGGGGGTGGCACTGGCGGACCTCCAGAGGGCCCTTCCAACCCCCACCAGTCTGGGATGCTATGAAAACTGAAAAACGGACGTCATGAAAGACAAAGTAATAACGTTAAAAGCTTACGAAGAAAGGCAAGGCTAGCCCAGCCCAGCGTGAAGAATGACACGAAAAATACTGTAAAGTGAATTAAGTGGAAAAGAGGCAGTGGGATGTACGTTGCAGAGTACTAAGGATGTACTGGAAGAAAAGAATGTGAGAATGGTGTTTGTGTAGCATGGAGGCAATCAAGGGAAATGGAGACAGGAGGTGGAAGAGAAGAATAAAAACTACGTGAGGTAGGCCATTGATTGTGAAAGACAAAGGAACCTTATTGCAGTGTTTGTAGAGGGGGAAGGCATCACGAGGCAATGAAAGAAAGCAACTCTATGGCTTTTAGTGGGGAATTTAAACTACTTGGCAGGTAAAGGTTTAAGAATAAACAGCTTGCTTTGCCTGTTCTAAGTGGAAGAAAAGGAGAAGGCATAATTGGGCAGGAAATTAGTTTTATCGGTGAAGTTAGAGCAGAGAAAACACAGTTCTGCTTAAACAGAAAAGGTCTCCTGTTTTGACATTCACCTGGAAACAGGCTCTTCTGTCTTTGCTGTTTACGTTGCCAAACGTACCACCTCTGGAATGAAGAGTTTCAGAGCTCTGCCTCTGGGATCTGAGAAAAGGTTGAATATAAAATGTGTAGGATAACTCACATGTTGTGAAAGGTTAACTACAATAGGACTCAACGCAGTGGCTGCTGTAGGAAAGGCTGCCCTCAGAGATAACGCACTTCTTTTTTCCTCCAGTTCTTTTATTAAACTAAAACAACAACAACCATCAGCACCACCAGAAAGAAACAACCCCCCACCCCCTTATTTGTTTTCCTCTTTATGCTTTTATACTGTTGATATTTCCCAAGTAGTTCTTTTCAGCTTCCCTTTGCCTTCGAACCCCTTCATTTAAATTTCTAATTCTTCCTTGCGCAGGAGAGAGAACTTCAACACTTGTTACTAACTTTTCTTGATCTTTCCAGTGCCGAGGCTATCGATACGTTGTCCTCTCGTTAAAACTGTTTAGTCCTACGGTCTATGTGCTGCACTGTATACTTCCTGGTATGGAGGATTAAAAGGCTTTCATATAAGTTTCTGTGTAATTAGTACAGAAACGATAGGCGATATGCATGAATTCCACAGTCGGCGTTAGTGATACCTTGTAGTCTACCTGCAGTGATGTCACGCCACAATTTTCAGGCTTATCCCTGGCAACTTTAAGACCACTAAGAGCATCCTGTAGAATCAGTACCACAAAGGTTCGTCCTTCTTTTTTCAATATGCTAATGAAGAGGTAATGTATAGTCAAGTGGCCAAAGCCTCCCACCCCTCATTGGTGTTTCACAACTTAGAGTCAGGCAAGAGGCCGAAATCCTGAAAGCAAAAATTTTCAGAAGGGAAGAATGGTTTTAGCTGAAAACAAGAGAGAATCTGTAGGTACTGCTAGTACCAGATACAACAGAGCACTGCTTCCATGCTTCCACCAGGAGTTAGCAGAGGAGTTAGGTGGGCTGGAGACCAGCTCAGACGAGGACGAGATGGTCACTACCAGGGTCATTCGTCGCCGGGTGATTATTCAGGTACTGAGTGTTGAAGGATTGCACGAGCCTGTGGTGACTGGGCCCTGGTAACACCTTCAGGCATGCTGCTGAGACCACCGCTTGGTCGGTGTTGCACCTCAAGCTGGAATGCTCCTGAGCAATGCATGGGCATTGGACAAGCCATTCCAACACCTTTTCTTGAAGGGAAGGATTATAGTAATACTGCTAACCCACCTCTAAATTCTGTTAGATGCCTCAGTAGGAGGAGGACAAAGACTTCTCAACCCCGTGCACAACACGGTCAACTAACATATATTTGCCTGTCCATTGTGGCCTAACTTTTCTTTGCTTGCCTTTCTAAGTATTTATTTGCAGAACAAATTTTTTTTTCTAACGTTTCTCTCAATTTATTTTTTTTTTCATTCTTTAACTGATTAACCAATTTTAAAATTGCTTATTTAAAGTCACCTACATGAAGGCCTTGCTTCGTAAAACTTTGTTCTTTGTCATACAGGCTGATAGTATGCCTGAAATGCCACCAGAAACAGTCACGGAAGAGCAGTATACAGATGAACATGGCCACACAGTGGTGAAGAAGGTATTGTCAGTTCTGCCCCTTGCTACCTTCTTACTGTCCCACAAAAGGATGGATAAACACATCCACACATGTGCTAAATTTTCTTTTGTGAAGGGGCATGATTTTTAAGAGTAGAGCATGGAAGGAACCACAATTTCTGTTCATGAAAGATTCCAGAGTTTAAAGACTTATTTTGATGCACAGGATCATTCTGTAGTACAGTTTAGAACTTAACGTGACATATTTTGTTAATCTTCCCACTTAAAGCCACTGAAAATTCGGCATAGATCCGCATTTCTGAGGAAAAGGTGTTTTTAAAAAAAAATAATGACACAAACATAGCACCACAATTTTATCTAAGATCATGTGTGCTCGTATTAATGAAGCTAATGGAAGGCTGGGTCTGCAAGAGTCACCTAAATCCAGGCTTCAGATCTTCAAAATCTCCCCTCAGCTGTGCCAGACCAGGTTCCTGAAATTCCGTGTCTGTACATACAGTTCAGTTTTTATGGCACAAAGAAGGTAGAAAGTACTTATTTGTGCAATGGCCTCGTAAAAGAAGCATTTTCAGACCATGCTTATAAAAGTGAATTCTGCGCAGCACGGAAGTGGAAGAGGAACTTCTGCGCTCCTTGCTTCATCTGACAACTCAGTGCTTAGAGAACTGGTCTGGGACTTGGCTGAATCCTGCTGGTGGCAAACTCCACCTTCTGTCTCCCAGGAAAACATCACAGAGCCTCAGCTGGACAGCATGTCTCTGGAAGCTCTTTGAATTCATCTTAAAATAAACAACCCCAGCCAAATACTCCTGGGCACGTTGTGCAAGAGTGAGCATGACTGTATTCTTCTGGGTAGGTCCATGCCCTACCCAGAGGCCGTTACCCCCACCTCTGTGCCTCTTAAATGTACGTGACACAGCCTGATTGAGCATCGCAGCAAATAAGGTTTTGGAAAAAGCAGGAGGTAACTGCTTAATGTCACAGAATTACAGAATCTTCAGAGTTGGAAGGGACCTCTAGAGATCATCTAGAGGTCACCTTGTCAAAAGGGGCTGGGAAGGCGTGTGAACATGTAGAGCTCCAGGTTATCCGCAGAGGGACGCATACCCATCCTCCTGAGAGATTTAACTCCTCTTGAACCCTGTCGTTCTCTTCTGCTCTTCTTTGTGCCTAGAAAGTGTAAGCACCAGACTAGTCTCTTAGGTAGGTTAATTCCAGCTCGCTAGTTCGGAAGTGGTTAGTGCCATCGGTGTTCGAATGGGATGTCCAAGTCCCTCTGTGAATCTAGTTCTAAGCATTCCATAGCCAAGCTGCTGACCTCTGACTTTCGGAAGCCTTTTTGAAAATGCCAGTCTGAAAATGTGTTCTAGCAGTAGT